TCTCTCTCTCTCTCTCTCTCTCTCTCTCTCTCTCTCTCTCTCTCTCTCTCTCGCGCGCGCTTATTTTAAAAGTTCAAACGCGCGCTTCGAGCCGCTCGACTATTCGCGTCATGCCCCGAGAAGTGCACTCAACGCCTCCGACCCGGGCCGAGTTTCAATCGGTGTCGAAGCGCCGCTCCGTGAGTCGCCTGCAGTCTTCGCTGCGGCTCCATCGGATGCCCTATCGAACGATTTAATCGTAAAACTGCCGCCGCACTCTTTTGCGGGAGTGCGGTGTATGGTAAAATCAGCACGGACGCTCACAGAGTGAGAGATCGCACGAGAGGACGGTGTTCGGTTAAAACTGGCGGTCGTCGCTGTTATCTCACGTGCGAAAAATTGCTCGCGCTTTTCCTGCCGCGATCGATATTACGTAATTATACCGGGGATATTATAAATAATTAGCAGCGGTTATTCGTACTAGTTGGTGCTCCGTCTACGGGCTTCCTCGGCAATTTGAAGTTAATCTAATTTAGTATTCCGAAATGAAGGGGGGAGTGCCGCGGCTCCTTCAACGTCGTAACTATGATTGATGTTACTCATACCGACTCGCGAGTTGAGCGAGCGTATTTGATCTCCCTTCTTCCAAACTAACTACCCGACCTGCTTTTCGTGGGCCCCGAGATCAGTCGGGGGTGTCTTCCCGGCCGCCTTGCTCGTGGTAAGATATATCGAAGAATTCAGCCACACGAGAGAGAAAGAGAGAGAGAGAGAGAGAGAGAGAGAGAGAGAGAGAGGAGGAGGAGGAAGAGGAGGAGGAGGAGGAGAGAGAGTAGCTTGAGAGTTAGGCGGCGGCTTGGCTCCAAGAAACTAGGAAAGCTGACGTTTCGCTTACGTGCGGAAACTGGCAAGCGCGGATATATTCTCTCGTCTAGATGGATTTATCGAGCGAGCATCGAGAGCCCCCATTGAAAACGACGAAAATTGGACGGATATACGTATGCGGCGGGAAAAGGGGGCAAACAGAGCGAGGAGAACAGGGGAGGAGGGAGAAGAAAACTGTACGGTAATCGCGCACGTCGTCCACGTAGCGCACGGGATGCATCTCGAGTCCCAGTCGTGCGCGCGACGTCGCGATGGGTCCGTTTTTCCGTTTTCCGCGTGCAAGATAGCTCCGGCGAGAAACGCGCTTCATGATTCAATCCGGAGACCGTCCATCCGTTGACTTTGACAAACGAACCCGCGCCGCCCGCGAACTCTTTCCGTCCAGAAATCGCGTGCGTCGATGCTCGGGCGGTCCCCGAAATTCGCGAGAATTACCTGACATTAGACCATCTCCCTCCCACCCTCCTTTCTTCCTCGCGATATTTTAACGAAACGCTGACGCTCGTACGAAGTTGCGAACTCGAGTCGAAACAGGAAGAGAGGATCGCGACTTTGGGCAAATTAGATCCATTCGAACGTTGCAGAATCTGATATGGCGAGTCGTTAATCGCGAAATTATCCCGCGGTCATTTCCCGCAAGTCGTGCCGCAAAAGAATCCTCAGATCCGTCTTCTTCTCTCGGTAACTTTCGGACGACATTCGTGAAATCGTTACTCGCTGAAGTTCTTAGGACGTCCTTAGTTGTAGGGATCTTGTAAACAGTCGTCCGACCGTGCGAGAATGGGAAACTTGTTCGTGGAATGAAACATGTCGATATCGAAATTCGGTTAACTACCGATGTCCGCAGCCGCAACGACGAACGGCGACCACTGACAAGACAGGCACGCTGGCAATTAATGGGAGGTGGGACTTAATTAGTACAATCTCAGCGGCGTACCGTGCCTGCTGTCTCCTGTTGTGTCCTCCTAAATACCGCGTGTTACGGGACACTCGTGGGAATAAGACAATGTCCTGCCGGAAACCTCTCAACCAAACGCGACCCTAATAAAGCCAGATGCCGGGTCGTCCGGTAGAAGATAATGACTTAGACTTATGTCTGCCGGGGCATTGAACTTTTTTCCTATACAATATATAGAGCGCCTTGACAAAGCGTGCCGAAGCAACGGTATCTCTACGCGCCATTCACGAACGATCGAACATTTCGGGAATTAATTCCGCACAGAAAGCTTCTTGGGATCTAGTATAATTCCCCGAAATAATTATGGGTTCTGCTTGTAAATGTAATGTTTCAAACACGCGACTCTAAGCGGGAAACTCAAAGTTCTCCCAATATTCTTTCTGATCTTGGTTTTACATTTACATAAAATCGACTATCGAATAATTTCATTACTCAATGTAATGAATTTAAAGTGTTTTGATAATATTTTATTTTTCTAGTATTTTACCGTTTTGAATACAACAATATTCAATAGTTGATATAAAAATAGGATGTCCTCTTTGACACTTAAAAAGTATGATATTATAATTGAAAAAGGAAAGAAACGCGAATATGTCTTTCGATTCTAGACACAAAGCCCATATTTGGAACAAGAATGGGATTCGCAATTAGTGTCGCAGTGGGGCAACAAATTTTGGAACAAATTTGGGTGTTCTTATCAGAATCTATGTCGTATCTGTGTGACTTTGAAAAATTTCCATGCACGATCTTCGGTAATCCGTTTACGTGACGCCTCGTTTCGACAATTAAAGACCGAGACGTCAATTAAAGGTCGCGAATTTTATGCGAGCGACGGCGGATCTCTTCTCGCGCTGATTGAACCAGTTTGATAAGGTGTCGCGTCGGAGCTTCCGACCATCTGACTGCATTGCGCGAAGCGGAGCAGAGCGGAGCGGAGCGGAGCGAAACGGACGCGTAACGGCCGCTATTCCAATCGTCATAAATTGTCGCGATGAACGTGACGATCGTACGGAGCAGCCAATACCCGCGATTCTGTCATTCGACCCTCGTAGTCGCCATCGGCGTGTAACCCGCGGCCCTTCTCCCGGGGCTTTTGACCACCGATTCGTCTCTGCCACGCTGCGTTTATCGACCCGTCGAAAACGTGCCAAGGTTGCATCCGAGCTATCCGTGATTATCGTGAAGCGTCACGTGATCCGCGCTGCTTCTCCCCGTGAGTTTCCAGCCGACCTCGCCGTTCCCAGATGACGTCCTCGAGGGCGTCCAGTGCACGATCGGAAGCTCAATTTGCGCTCGGAGAGCTTCACTCTCAGGTGAAGAAACGATTCTCTTTCCTTGACGCAGCGCAACGCAACGCTCGAAATTGCAACTTCCCCGCGATTGCAGCTTCGTTCTCTGATATCGAGCAAGAGTGGACTTGTATTTCCAACCTAGATAAACGGATGGCATCACGGAAGTCCGCTCACGCGCGAGCGGGCCGTATGATTTTTCATAACACTCACGCCTTGGCCATAAATTATAATAATAGGTAATAGTACGGAACCACGCACGTTTCGACGCTCGGAATCCTGAAAAAATGCGGCGGTCGAGTCCGGGAAATAAAAAAAGAGGGATGACCCCTTGCTCCTCGATACCTGGCGGATTCGTTTCGAGCGACGGGCGTTATTATTCGTCGGCGATTAGCATAATCAGGCGGGCGAATGTAACACGTACGGCAAATAGACAAAACACGACGAGCGGCGACGCCAATTAGCAGGTGCCGACGTTAATGCAAATGGCGGCATTAGCCGATAATACCGGGAGTAATATTATTATTTCACGGCAATAATATCAGCGTAATTCATTCGGCTTAATCAAGAGTATTACTGCCACGAGGTGCAAACCTATTTTACCGTCGATAAATTCGCGCTCACACACCTATGTAGCGCACGCGACGCATCGTGGCCGCGAACTCCGCGTCGTGGTCGAATCGTGAAATTGTTCGGCCAGAATTCGCGCGAATAGCGCGCAAAATTGCGCAGTCGAGCGATACGTCGTAATATATCGTCGGGTGGCATCGTAAGAATATGTTGTCGATTATTACCGAAGCGAACATTTGCATTATATCCTCGGCGTATCAAGAATACAAACGACAGAATTTAATCTGCTGATTATAACGGTGACTAATAGCTAATATCAATAACAATAGATAGCATATCTAATGAAGATCGCCTCGTATGGATTCACGATCGTTAATTATAATGTTCCGAAACAGTGATTTTTATATGACGTCCCGACAGAGCGACCGGCAGATTTATATAGCCGGCCAGAAGGTAACGGGGGAGAACCCGCGACAAATTTATCCCGGGATTACATGGCGGGCTCATAACTCGCACATTCACCTAATCGCATTACTCGCCGGTGCGGCGATTCGCGGTGGAACAATAATTCGCTGGTTCTCGTTGCGTGAACCATAATCGATCGCACCGAGTGTCACTGACGTCACTGGCTGACCATCGGTTACGAGAGCGGCACTGTGAGAGAATCCTTTCCCCGGGACACCAAAATCAAACGCTGCCTGTCCGCGTCTGTCGTTGCTCCCGTTTCCCGGTTGCAACGGTTGGAATCGGCCAGTAGATCGCTGCACCTGCAGCCGCATACGTCACAGCGGCCGGTGACGGCGCAGCTTCAGTCGCCGACCCGCATCGGAAATAGATCCTGTAACCGGAGAACTTATTTCTGGAAATATGGCGGCGGCCGTGCGTGGCTTCTATTTCGGGCGAGCACCAACGTGTGCGCGTCCTCCTTCTCTCCATCCGTCTCCGCTCTCTTCCGCATCTCGTCTTCCTCGCAGCTGCAATCAGATCGAGCAATTGAAAATCCGGTCGTGAATAGGGATCGATAATTTCGCGAGATCAACGCGAGAGCGAAGAATTCGCAAGGAGGACGTGGAGAAGAGGATAAGGAGAGACGAGTCCTGTCATCCCGCGTTGAGAATGACGCGGAGCTCGTATCGAGAAGTTAATAAAGGTGGTGACCACATGGCAGCGGCGCCGAAGCCATAAATAGAGAGACCGCGGAGGACCATATGTACGTGGAATGATGCCTGGGCCACACCGTCCGTTACGCGAAAGCGATCTATTTCTGGCGGCCGCCGCCGCCGATCCCAGAAATTGCATCTCAGAAGACGCATCCGCGCGAGATATCTTCTCTCGTCGAGCGCACCGCGCAAGCAAGCCGTCGAGTCTTACACGCGACACACTGTTATCTTCTCGTTGCCTCGTTATCCCTCTCTCGCTCTCTCCGACGACTCACCAGGGCGCAGCTCCATACTTCTTTACATTCCATACGTCACATTCACTATGGGAAGTAAGGAAGCACGGAACGGTCGCCCGGTAACAATCTAAATCACCAAGATCCGAGGCGAAAACTATATTTTCTCCATTTTCCTCTCCATTCCTCGCCGAATGTATGGACGAAGCGCTGATGGTCCTCGTCGTGTCCTCGCCACAACCTCTTTATCTCGCGGTCGCACTGCGATTACGTAATACACCGACGCAACGCGGTCCTAAAAGTTCCTGAAAACACTCTCCGGCGAAGGGTACCTGGCGGCGCGTCGCGAGCGTTGAGCTCTCCTCGACGACGATCTCGACAGCGAAGAAACTAGTCCAGCGAGGACTGTCGTCCTGCCTACGGCGGGAAATCGGCCGACGGAATCTTGGCGAGTACTGGCAGCCGTCTCGGTAGAGCCGTCTGTGACTTCCTCGAGTCCACGAACCCTGCCAACCCGGGTGACCGCTTCGGACTGAATGCTGCCAAAGCCTTCGAACACGGTCGCTTGAACGAGCCCTCTAAAAATGGCTGCACAGATCCCATTGGCCTCTGCTCGAGTCACGAGCCGACACCCCCCTCGTGTGCACATGTAAGCTTACACTCGAGAAAGAGTAGCACGCGGCTCGGCTCGGCTCGGTTCAGCCTCGCTCCCTCGCTCGCGCCGTAGCGCCTCGCCTCGCGCCAAATTTGTCTTTATCCGAAAATAGTCAGTCCCACGGCTGCCACCACATGGCGACTATTCCCGGTTCAGACTCGAGTGATAACTTACCCAGGCCTCTTCGTCTCGCTCTGCTCCTCTCCTGTTGCTCCTTCGTCCGCGTCCTACTCCTCCTCTTCCTCGCCTTCCTCATCAGCGTCATCTTCTTCGTCGTCTTCTTCTTCGTGTTGTTCTCCGTTTTCTTCTGCTTCTTCCCCTTTGTACAAAGGCGAGCATGCAATCCTCCATGTCTCCTACTAGACGTGACACGAGTCGATGGTGGACAGTTGGATCGCAGAGAAAAGCTCGCGTTCCTCGCAAAAGTATCCCTCGACTCTCTGTTGAAGGCTTCTCACAAAAGATTCTCATTAATTCTACCAAATATTTCGCAAACTTTATCGGATTTTCGCGAGTGTGATTTGTAATCGCGAAATTACAATTCTAATTGTAAGCGAAATGTCGCGGGAACGTTGGTATTCGCGACCCTTTGCAGCACATCAACCTTGACATCCGCAGTTTCTTTTAACAAACAGTAATTTTCCGAATGTAACTAAACCTTTAACAGCGTCACCGCACTTGTGATTCTCGTCCTCCATCGGCAGAACTTTAAATCCGACGTTAGGTATGCCGCGATATTTTGGGGGGTGGAACACTTGGCAGCCACTGTTGGCGGACAAGTGGATGCTTTTAAATTCCCAGAGTCTCTCTCTTTCTCTCTTGATTTTCGCGTCAGCTCGCACGACAACAATGTCGCGTCTCGGTTGATGTATTAATTCTCCAGGTGCCACGCCGTATCATTAACGCGATCGTTATCTACGGTGATCAACGTCAATGATGATATAGTCCCGGTGTGTAAGCGAACAGCCAATGAAACGGCGAAGCCAACGACGCCGATGACGACTCGACGGTCCGATCGTTAACAACGATGATAAAGACGGTATCGTAAATGCAAGAACCGAGTTACACGATCGTTCGTCGCGGCATTATTTATAGAAAGATATTCGCGACGATAATGGCCGCTGGCGAGCGGCCAGCGCCTCTGCGATTTAGTATCGCGGCGCGACGATTAATTTCAATTTTACACTTTACGTCGCGTTCGGTTACTTCGTCCGACCACGACTACCCCGTGATCGCACGCCTTCGGCATTATGCAACTCGGTGCACTACGTTGACTCCCTTTGCGCGCGGGGGTTGTAGCGCAAATCCATGTCGAGCTTCGGGGGTAACGAAATGCGACACGTCGCGCGGAAACCAAGTAACTCTGGCGAACGACAGGCGAGTTCCAATGCGCGAACTTGGTCAAGAACGGTGGAATATACATATTGCTCCCTGCAGCATCACTATTATGCATTGTTGCGATTCTGTCGAGAGTATAGGCGAATGGAAATTACTTTGACGTCTCTTTGGAACACCATCGATCCTTCGTATTCGACATATTTATGTAAAACTCTGGATTTTCTCGTTGAGACGCGTTGAAAGAAAATTTCCATTAGTCATTCACTCCAAATCTTTATTTCGTCGAAAATGTCCTCGAGATGGACTTGCACGAGCAATTAATTCATGCACTCCGCGAATATAATTACTTGCTTCGACGTCAAATTCGAAGCTGTCAAATCGCGGAACGGGTTAACAGCAATCTGAAAAACTTCTCTCACCTTGATCGCCAGCACATTACAGCACATTTCGCCTCGCGCATAACAATTCGCCGGGGAGAGCTCGTAAATCCTCCGACGTGCCAGTCAGACTTCCAACTTCTCCTCGAGATCGGCCGCTGACGCGTCTGTCAACCACAGATTCCTCGTCGAATTCGGAATCTATTTTTCCCCGAGAAAAAAGTTTCACGGACTCGAGCCGCGTATCTCGCACGTGCGATAAACTTGTGATGTCACTTTTATCGGCGGCTGCTCCGCTGCAAGATGAAGTTCGTCGCGACGACCGACCCCGGTCTAAAATTACTGACAGCCGAAGACGATGCATCCGCGAAGTCGACGCGGCCCGGTGAGCCGTGCGAAACGAGTCTACACGCTAATGTGGATCCTATTTTTAGTCGTCGTCGTCGTCATCATCGTCATCGCCGTTGTCGTCGTCGGCGTCGGCGTCGTAACGAAAACGCATCTCGAAAACGCGAGGAGAGGAACAAACGATCGGACACGTTGCACCTTCTCCGACCTTGCACCTGCGGATTACTCAGGGGATGTACCTGCGAACCTAAGACCCGTCCGAAAGTAGGGCGACATTTTCTCCCGAGAAAAATCACGAAAGATGACGTCGGCTCAAATTTGTCCTAATCAAACGCATATCTGTCAAGGAGCTTGAATTGGAAGAATACACTGATGTTTGATACATCCTATGTCTGTCTCGTCGGGGCAATTTAATGATTTTAACATGCGACACATCACGAAGAGTAATTAAAGAGGACGTCGTCCCTCGTTTGCCTGCGAGGGGTAAGGGGAAATTGAGGCCTTTCCCTCAACGGAGACGCCGCAGCCCTAGCGTCTCGTGTATCGGGTTACGAGTTCGTCGTTGAAAATAGCCTTTACTCCGCGTACTAATGGCGAAGACTCGAAGTAACCCTGGCTGAGATACAGCGGGGTCGAAAGCCGCCGCCAGCGACTCGTCTCTCGTCCTAACTCTGTTTTTCTCTCTGTCTTTCTCTCCTTCTCTCTCTCTTTCTTTCTGTGTGTATGTGTCTCTCTCTCTCTCTCTGTCTGGCATTGAAGATCGTGCTGATGAAAGAAAACCGCGGAAGAGAAACCCCCGCGAAGAGGGAATGGACCGCCGTCGTTAATTATCGTCGTTAATTTAACACGATAGATGAAACACAACTCGGATCCTCCAACGACACGGTCTCGCCCCGATTCTCACTGCGACGTCGTTGCGGTTTTTCGAAAGCGTTCCGGGAAAAGTCGAGGGCGCTCTCGGAGATCAGATACACACGCGAGTAATTTACATACCGAATTCGATAGGACTCTTCTCCTTTTTCTTCTCCTCTTACGCCAGAAGGAAAGACGATAGCTGCACTCTCTCATCTCTCTCGAGTAAAACCACGTCTTTCCTCCTTCCCTCTCTCTTTTGGTCTCTTCTCTTGCTCTCCCTACTTTCTCTCTCTCTCTCTCTCTCTCTCTCTCTCTCTCTCTCTCTCTGTCTCTCTGTGTCTCT